TAATTCTAAAAAAAAAAAAAAGAAAAAAAATTTCTTTTTAGGATCAAAAGAAGAAAATACAGGCTGGGGATACAGCTCAGTGGCAGAAATGCTTGCCTGGCAAGCACAAGGTTTTGACTTTGATTCCTGGTACAAAACACACATACACACACATACACACACACACACACACACACACACACACACACACAGAAGAAAATACTTAGGAGTTAGCTAAGGAAACAAAAAGCTTGAAATAAACTAACAAATGTTTCTAGAAGAAACTAAAGTCATAAATAAATAGAAAAACATCGCATGTTTATGGACTGGAAAACCTGAGGTCAAATGGTAGTACTACCAACCCCATATACAGAGTCAGTATAATCCCTGTCGCCATCCAATAAATGCTGCTTTGCAAAAACAGAAAAATTCACCCTAAAGTTCATGTGGGATCTCAAGGAACTTCGTTTTTTGGTTTATTTTTTCATTTTATATATTTGGTGCAGGGTCTCACTACACAGCTCTGACTCCTAGTGCTCCTTCTGTTTTCAGCCTCCCAGCCCTGGGATCACAGGCATGCGCCACCACACCCGACTCATTTGCTGACTGAATGTGCCCCAAGCGCAGGGCCAGTGCAACATAACGTGGGCCTGGGGATGGAACCCTGGTCACTGCGCTTGCCAAAGTAGGCACTTAGTCCTCTGAGCTATCTTGCTGACCCACTCAAGGAACTTTGAATTCATAAACTATGAAAAAGAGCAAAGTTGAAGGACTCATAATTCTTGATTTCAGAATTTGCTGCAAAGCAAGAATAATTAAAACTTTGGTGCTGGCCTAAAGAGAGAGTTACTAGACCAACAGCACAGAGTGAAACCCTGTGTATCTGGGCACATAATCAACAAGAGTGCCAAGTGTGGAAAAGTATATTCGAGAAACACAGAGCAAACCCTGTGTCTACATGGAAAGGATGAAGGTGAAATCTACCTAAAACCATGAAAAATGAACTGGCTGGATTTGTTGATTTCTTTAAAATGACAACAAAACAGCAGACAACAAAAGAAAAAAGAGCAGACTGCATTAAAATTTAAGAGTTTTTTTAATAGCCAGGCATGGTGGCACATGGCTATAATCCCATTACTCAGGAGGCTG